CTTGCAAGAACCCTGTGAAATTTAATTATTTGGTATTTTCATACAAAGCAATAAATTATTAAGAATTAGAGAGTAACAGACTAGTTAAGTTCTGGTTGTAAATGAGAATAGCTTTTGCGATGCACATTTGTAACAGCTTATGCATTTATTCCTTTTTAGTACCTGTAATTTATTATAAAAATATCTCTTGTCTGTGTTTGCCTTATGATTTAAATCTGATACAAGCGTAAAAAAACTGCCATTCAGCAGTGCTGCTATCCCAGATATGCGCTAGTTATTCAATACTCAAGCTGCACTGAGACTTTTTTTGACTCTAATTTACGTTGCACAAATATATAAATGGTAAACTGATTATTCATTACCATGCCCTACCTATGGTGGATTCCTGCCTCATGCAGCCGTCTCCATACAGTCTCATTGAACATGTTGAGCTGCAGTTCGTCTCTGATAGCAATAGCATTTGTGAATGGATTTTCTTAAGCTGTCTGCCGAATGCTCTCATCTTCCTGGAGAGTAGTGACTCGGGAACAGGGTCTCCTGGCTGAAGAGATGGGTAAGCCATTTATACTGGCACAAATTTCATATTATAATTTAAAAAAATCATTCAACATTAGGAATAACTAAGAATAATGTAGTGTATAGAACATTTCTGCATTCAATCATACTCAGGTCTGTCAAGTTTCCCGTCTCCTCCCATTTCTGTATCCACTTGGAAACAGTCCTAGGATAGACTCCGAACTGGTGAGCGATGGTCCTTATACTGAGGCCGTTGTCTCACAGGGCGATGATCTGATTCCGTAAGATTAACAGAGCCTGCAGCCTATCCATTTGGACGTCAGGGGACGAGTGAGTCCTCATGGCTGGAAGCCAGACAACATCTCTGCTTATCCGTGATTGGCTGTCTGGAAAACTTAGTTCTCACTCTGATTGGTTAAAGGGCTAAGAAACAGAGAAACTGTTACATTGATGAACTACAGTTGGGTATGGAGAGGAGGGTGAAAATCCAATATCAGGTGGGGAATGCCTCCTCCAGTTTATAGGATGTTTTACCCAGATATTGATTTTCAAATATGTATAATATAGTTCCTTTACATTATTGTTATTAAATATATGTCCTGAATGTGATAGATTCACTTAATCAAATGTCAATGTTTCCTGTAATTGAGAGCTAGCGAATTCGACTTCAGTGAATATTTATTGTAAGTAACGTTGACAAAATTGTGGATTATGCGAACCTTTTTAATGAGTGTGGTGTGATTATGTTTTGCATAAGGTTTTGTAATGGTCAAAGTGTTAACATGTCAACTCGGGGCTCTCATGTTTGAATCGTACAGATATCGAACTTGATATTAGCTGATATGATTACAGATATCTTCATTAGGTCGATTGGAGGTGGGCATAGAAATACTGTTTCCAGTGGAATATCTCCCAGCATCAACAATAACATCTTAATTAAAAGTAAATCTAAATGTCTCCTAGTCTTAGGCAATATCCAGTCGGGGGGTTGGGGGGGGCAGAAGAGGGAGTGTAGTAGTATTTTGGTTTATTTATTGTCTCCAACATTTGGTCAGTAATATAGGAATATATAATTAACCACACCAGTAACATAGGCACAGACTTACTAATTTCGGATACCACATTATTCTCTTTATTACGTACTAATAGTTTGCTTGATAAATACTAGGCTGTAGCTGAAGACGTTTTACCTCTCCCTCTCCCATCCCTGTTGCCACCTTCCACTCCTACCCTTCTCACCCCCACCCCCGAAGCCTGCCACCCTCCTCTCACACTGGTCCCCAGTCCCCCACTCCACATCATGAGTGAATGCTTCGGCTTCATACTCTCGTGGTTCACGACTCTCGGATACTAGGATTGGCAAAACGCTGACTGTAGCAAGTGGAAGTGTGGGAGGGTGCACATAATAAATTAACGAAAGTTTATTATAATTAATTTTCTATTCATAACAACAATATACTGAATCTTTTTCTGATAAAATGAGAAGAAGTCAAGGAAAATGACTTCTCAGGAATTGGACAAGATGGAAAAAATTATTGCGGTATTGAAAAAGTTTCTATGAAGAGTCCAAAGGTCTTTACGTTTCTAATTATTTTTCATGGGTGTCCCTATGTCCCTACGCACCTGGAAAAGCGCAAAATGTCCCTATGTTTAGAGACATCCTGGATTTTCAAGATTTTTTTTCATTTCTGGTGAATAGAGGAGCGGTCCAAAGCACCTCAGAGATTCAAAAACAAATCTTATTCTCATATATTGAAGTCCGATATACTGAGCTTTTACTGTTCAGTCAACCCTCACTTTACGCGGTCCCACATTCCGCGTTTCCACGTTTACGTGGTACCCTGCCAGAACCCGGGATGCTCACATTCCACGGTGCGTGTACCCCTTTACGCGGGTGAAGTATAATTTTTTTATTTAGCTCATAAAATTCATACAAATTATCCAGCCAGAATATAATTTACATTGCTGGAATTCTTACAATTTAATGATCATTTTGAATATAAGCATCATAGATTTTGCATTAGACATACAAATTTTAGATCTAATGCAAGTATTTTGTTTACTCAGAGCAAATATGCTATCTTTTGTGCAAAATATATGAAGTGTATATTCAAAATATTCCTGATCTTGCAAGGAATCCAGCAATGTCAATTATATTATCCTAACTTTAGTCTGAGGTGTTATTTATTACTAAAAGTTAAAATCTAGTTTTTTCACTCATTTCTCTGGTAGGGAGGGAAGGTGGGAGGGTGGGGGGGAGGGTTGGGACCAACCGACCATCTGGCGCGGTTGGAAGAGGGGGGGAGGCAAGGTGGGGTACTTTGATTGACAGATAGTGTTGTGAAGAATATTTTTTTTTTTATTAACTGAAGATATTTGTTTTAGCTCATAAAATTCATACAAATTACCTGGCAAGAATATAATTTACATTGCTGGAATTCTTACAATTTGATGATCATTTTGAATATAAACATCATAGATTTTGCATTAGACATACAAATTTTATATCTAATGTAAGTATTTTGTTTACTCTGAGTAAATATGTTATCTTTTTTGCGAAATATATGACATTTATATTCAAAATATTCTTGGTCTTACAAGGAATCCAGCAATGTCAATTATATTATCCTAACTTTAGTTTGAGGTATTATTTATTACTATACCTTAAAATCTAGTGGTTTTCCCCCAAAAATTTCTCAGAGAGGGAAGAGCCAGCGAGTGTAGTGTGAGAAGAGGGGGAGGGAGTTGAGTCCATTATTTGAATGGACATTAACTTGGTGACTGTATTTCTCTATTTCTCTTAAGTATTAATTGTGTGCATGCACCATCATAATATTAAGATGTTATTTTTAGTAGAACATAGGTATTGTGTCGGAAAAAGTGGAGTTTGGGGGTCAGCTGGTCTCTATTTCAATTAATCCCATATGTTATGTTGTTCACTTTACGCGTTTCTCACTTTCCGCGGTACCCTGTGGGTTGAATTAACTGCGTAAAGTGAGGGTTGAATTTCATATGTATTAGGATTCAGGATTCTGTTTCCCATCCTTGGCAAATTCAGGGTTGGACATAAAATTGTTTTTAAGGAAAGCTTTGGTTTATCATTTATAAAATACAATACCAAGGCTTTACAGGGGGTCCCCAGTCTACAAATGGATTCCTGACGTTCTTAAGTCGGATTTATATGTAAGTCGGAACACATGTGCATACCGTACTTACAATACAATGTTTAAAATTCCATTATATCATAGCTTAAGTCCTTATATACAGTACATCTAAAACCACTTAATTTATGAAAAAAGAGGAAATAGAATGACAAAATTCTATAAGTGAAAGTAAAAAATAATTCATCAGGTTAATAAAATACTGTAAATTTCAAGTTTAACCCCGCTCGTATCGGCGGGCATTCATAAATCGAACGTTCATAAGTCAGGGACCCCCTGTATAAACATCCCATTGTTTGCACCAGACATAAAAATATTAATAATTAACTTAGTACATTTGAGTACAGGTTGTTATAATTTACGCATTGCAGTTGCAGAGCTTCTTAACATCACTAGTGTATAATGTATCTCCATATGCCCTGGTTTATTACTGACCAGTTGTCCAAGTGCAAAAGTAGCCATATCAAGCCATCATTTATCAATTAATTTTAAAATAGAAATTATAAAGTCAAATGTTATAAGACAGTAGTTTAGTAGTGCTGTGTAAGTCATCAGGTAAAGACAGTACTCTAAATTTCAAGTTTAACCCCATTCGTGTCGGCGAGCGTTCGTAAGTCAGACATTCGTAAGTCGAGGACCTCCTGTACTTGCTTGAAAGTCCAGAGATCTTTTGTTTGATGCTTCTATCCATTTTCTTGCAAGCTTATGAATTTATGGAAATCCATAAGAAGATATAAACGACTTATTTTCCATCAAACACTGCACAAAGCTACAGCACAAACTACCATTGCTGAAAAATGTATTATCGTAACTGCTTTAAGAATCACACCTTCACTGTTGACAAAAGGAACAAAGGGTGGTGCTGCTTATCCCATTATGTACCTTGGTGGCTACCTCCCTACATGCTAACAGTTCAAATGGGAAGAGTCTATCTGGCAATAAGATTTAATGTATGGGCAGGAAAATTATTACCTCATATGGTGCAGCGATTGCACTGGCGTTGTTTATTCCATATGGTGCGGCAGTCGCATAATAGGGTTGAACAGTGATTGGATAGAAATTGCTTGATTTCTGAGGTATGTATTTGGTTCTGAATCCAAAGTGTTTTGGCCTTTGATGTTCAGTTTTTTAACTTGTGAAGTTGTGGAAATGGTAAATCTCAAGTGTACAGGAAATATTTTGATTGTACAATACATCTTTTTTTTTTTAGGTGCTAATGCTAAGAAGAGGCACTGAAACTTTTGATGAATGTAGTTTAATACCTTTTTTTACTTCTAATTTTATTAAAAGAATAAAAATTTACAAAAAATATGTATTTTATAGGTACCTAAAGGACTATGATTACTACGAGCGCTGTTTGATGGAGCGTCAGCGAGAGGAAAATCCTATAAAGCCACTCAAGCGATCACGTAACACTGCCGGCTGCCTCTGCTTCACGTCCAAGAGCCGTAGGAATGCTGAGAAACAAAACTATCGCACAATGTAATTAAGCGTTCCATTCGTTTTCCAAAGGTTTGCTTATGGCATCCCAATGTCCCAATCCTTGCATCCTCTCATGGGGTGTGATCAGTGATTGTAACCATTACATTAGGCCAGATATAATCAGAAGCAAGTTCAAACAATGTAATATAAGATATTATTGTTCTTTGACATTAATACAGTATTGGCATTTTAACTAAGTGGAAAATTTAATTGCTCATTTCCACTATAATTATATCTTTGATCACATCTGTTGTCATTGTCATATTTGTTGAATTATTCTTTAGTTGTCATTGTTTTCCCACATGCTCAAGATTTTGTCTTTTGAGAGATCACCAAATACTTAGGTTGTAGGAGAAAACCTGCATCTTCAAAATGTTATACAATTAGTTTTTCTTTTCTTTACTTCAAACACTTACACACCTTGCACTCCTCATTTGCATAATGACATCTTTTTCCATAGAAGCAAAGATTTATTTCTATTAACTATAATTTAGGCCATATGCTTTAGTGTGCATCCTTTGAGATTTCATTAATTTTGTTGAAGGACCTGGGACACCTTAAACGTGTTGCGGGCTTCTCTGAACCGGGTCAGAAAGTGGACATCTGCCGGGTCACGAAATTGATATGCAAGAAATGCACAGACTTCTGCCACCATTCTTTCAGCTTCCCTATTTTGTTATGAGAAGTGCTGCAAAATTCTTGAACAACCACTGAGCTTCGACGACAACAGATTTTTAAGCTGAAAACTTAATTGTGCAGTAAGGTTCTCAATGGATTGATAAGTTTTTCTAACAATATTTGTAATAAGATATAAGTAATCATATATATATATATATATATATATATATATATATATATATATATATATATATATATATATATATATATATATATATATATATATATATATATATATATATATATATATATATATATATATATATATATATATATATATATATATATATATATATATATATATTGGTGACTTTGATGTCTTGTTTTGAAGTTTTTAATTTTTATATACTGAAAACATGCTTGTAAGTATACCATTTGTACAGGTCATCATTTATGACTAATCTGTACATGACTATATGAGCTATGAAAGATGAACATGAAAGTACAGTGGCTACAGTTAGCAGACAGCATAATGTGTTTTTATTTTTTGAAGGCTATAATTCATTCTGGGGAAGGAGAATGTGACATTACAAATTTTATGCAACCATATTTAGGTGGTTTTTATACAGTAGTCATGAATAAGAATGTGAATGTTTTGAGAAGTAAAATCATGTGATGCTCAAGTCCCAGGTTTTTGCATAAGAATCATGAGTTCCTGTGATTGAATTATATTAACACTCTTGGGTTAGGGTAGGCTCTCTCCTGCAGGACACTCTGGGTCTGACCGGTTACTCACTTGACTGCATCACACGAGAAATAATTGTACGCAATGATTCGTAGCAAGCTGGATACTTTAGATAAAAAGGTGGGATTTGTTGCATTAGCATTGTAAATAAATTATCTATAAACAATTTTATATAAGAATCACATTAAAATAATTATTTCTATACGTAAGTGCAAGTAGAACACAAAATTTTTGTTTACGCTTAATGAAGATGTTTATACATCACTTTACACCTTCATTATTTCATGTGATTGCAATATAAACTTTATTCCATTATAAAGCGTAAATATTTAGAAAAACTAAATTTTACCTTAAAAGAAAAGTTTAAAAAAAATTAAAATTTTGCTATGGAGAGGCATCAGGAGGCACCACATTATCACCACATGGTGCAATCTCCTTGCACTTTTTAGCTTTCCCACCCCTCCACCCTCGCTAGCAACACGAGGCATGGTTCAAAACTCTCACAACACTATTATGAATAAATTAAATCACTGTAATGCATGAGAAGTCAGTACAAGCTGCAAGAAAATGTATGGGAAATGTCAATCAACATTATACCCTGGGTCCTTTAAACACAAAAGGAAGACTGGTGTGGTGACCTTGGAGTGCAGTCTACATAGTTTCCAGATCATGCTTACATTGCCAAATGTGCGTCTTGCGTGTAAAGCGTTCATAAGCAAAAATAAATTTTTATTTTTTGCTTCATACGCAAATTTGCATATGAAAACCCTATAGCGATAATTTAGATAATACGCAATTTTGCGTGTGAAAACCCCAAGAGTGTTAAGATGCTTATTTGTTGTACAAAAGCAAAGATTTGATAAAGTTCATAAAACAGATTTTTGTGCTGGTATATACATACAAGCCTTCTCAGATCATGAAGATATTAAATCTATTATCCTCAGTCATATCCATAGAGAATGATTATTAATGGAAGTTTATATTCTCAAATAATCTATATATTAAAATGAAAGAAGATTAGTCATGTCAGTTATCACATAATACAATTTAACTTCAGTGGAATAATTAACAACTTTCATAAATCACTGCAGTGTGTCTCCAACATTAAATCCACATATATTTTTTGCACAATAACTGAATATTAATTTTAAAATACAAAAGGATTAATTAATTTCATAAATTAATTACTTTTTGTAGTAGTTTAAGAGAGGTAATCTTGATAGACACTTTAATAATTTGTCATTTTTGTTGTATATGTCAGATATAAGGAGACACCTTGGTTTATGTTAACTCACTTATCCCCCAACTTAAACAGATGAGTTTAAAGTTAAAAGTTCAACTGAGTTGGCAGGAAGTTTATTTTGTTACAGCACTTAAGATTTGCATAAAGGTCCTTGGATTAACTAACACCTATTTGCTTCAGAGTTCATCATCCCACTCACTAAGAAATGGCATAACAAATGTTTTCCAGCTTAGCTGTCAAGTCTTGTGGACTGTTTATATTGTATGGTCAATCACATTACAGTGTATGTTTTATTTTTGTGCTTAAGCTGAAGTGAATTAATTAATTTTTTATGTGTGTGTGTGTGTGTGTATACAGCCTGGTATAAGCATCATTTTTTAATGTGATGATTATAGAACCCCCTCTGGTAATATTTGTTGTGCCTTATTTTCATGGTGATTGCACCTATTAGTGTAATATTTGGGAGGGTTAATTTGATGTTTGTAATGCAGCACACTTTTTATTTTAGATTACAATAAAGAAAACATAAGCAGATGGTTCTAGTTAAGAGCTGAAACTCATTGTATGGCACCAATATTAATGTACTTCTATCATACAAATATGAGACATATCCTTGCTCAAGTTATATATCACTTAAATATATTTTATCATATATTTTGAACTGTTCTTAAATATCTCAATTTTTCATGATACCAGAGAAATGTCAGAAAATAGTGTTATTGCCATAAACATAGTCCTTAAGTATAAATAAAAAAGTTAAGCCAATCATATGTTAAGTATACATATACATGATTGGTGAAGCATTTCATATAATTAACTTTTTTCCTCATGAAAATATACAAATCTGGTTAGTACATATTACCGGAATACGTATTCTTATTTTATTTCATGAATAGAAATTTTATAAAACTACAGTCAATTTTAACCTTCAGTCTTGGTTGATTTGACATGTGCTTAGTTTGTCTCTGTTGTATAAAGAAGGTTTAAGCATTAATTCATATATAAAGAGTAAAGTCATGCTTTGTCAAGGGTAGGGCTTTCTTTTTTTTTTCTCTTTTTTTCCCCCAGAATCTGTGCATAACTTGAAACGAACATTTTTAAATGCTACAATCCTGAAATTCAACTTTTAAGATACCTCTTTGCCAAGTGACAAATAATGAACCATAACTTATTCCTTGTGGGTAGGGCTAGATATATTTTTATTATCAATGATAAATTTTGTGACAATTATACTTTTCAAAGAATTTTCAAATATCATTACCAGTTGGAATGCTGCCCTAAGACAAAATATTGCCTTCACATTTTGCTTAAGTAATGAGCAGTCTTAAAAAATATCTGAATATGTATAGTCTGCCTTGAGTTGCTTCTAAAATATTTCCAGTTTTATTTAATTTGTTAGTTTTGAAAATTGATATGCATGGCATAAGTTATTCACCAGTCATGGTTCAAGACTTGTTTTTGCTCCTTGTTATCCCTATGGGTAAAAATAAGATTATTTGTCTTAAAACAAAGTTAATTTCTTTTGATTCACCTCAAACAATGATACTAGTGAATAAGTTATATGATAAGGTATCAGACCTTTTAAACACAAATATGTTTGAGGCTTCTTGCATTACTCTTCTTTTCATAATCACATTTATTGTTAACTGCATACATATGTTTATGTTAGAAATAATTTAACTGCTCTAGATAATTTAAGATAAGAGATTCAGATAATTTAGGTTTGACATATTACAGTCAATTTTACAGGATGCTACTTATTTGTAAAAACACACCGGTACATATAAGCCATCATTAATGAATGTGGCCTTTTTTTTCGTGAACTCTTGTCTTAAGATTCTCTGCAGCACAGCTCACTTACCATCCATTTTGTAATCCTGTGAGTATTTCTTAGTACTGTGGAATGTTGGAAAACAATTCTAACTCTAGATTGTCATGTAGAAGAATACAGGTTTCCAGGTCTTAACAACATTTACACAAGTACTTGTATTACTGATTTTAACAGCCAGCCAGGTTATGATTGTTTTCCATTCACAGAAATGTGATACTGCCTGGACCAGTTTCTTTGTGTGTAGGACTAGAATGTGCAAGTACAACTAGGCTGTACTTTGTATCGTATTCCTAGGTCTAAACCTTTTTAATCCAGAAATTTTAAATTTAATCCAAACTAAAGCCCTTGAAATTCACCTTGAGCTTTCCTAGATATGGTATTGGTAGTGGATTTTGAGTAAATATACACAGTCATTCCTATATCTTGGTAAAATTGACCACTGGGAGTATTTTTCCCTGTTAATATAACATGCTGTACTCGGGCCTTCTGATCTTTACCTGAAGTCTGATTAAGAAGGTTTGGGTAATTACGAGGAGACTTCAGATGTACTGTAGTTCAATGTCATGAATATGATTTTGGTATACTGTATATATATATATATATATATATATATATATATATATATATATATATATATATATATATATATATATATATATATATATATATATATATATATATATATATATATATATATATATATATATATATATATATATATATATATATATATATATATATATATATATATATATATATATATATATATATTTATTAAAATGAGCCATAAAGCTTTGTACTTTTCTAAGAATGTAGTAATCAGATTGATTATTGGTCTAACATGAGTGAATATATTCATAATATTAATCTAACTGTGCTCTGGTGAGTGGTTGTAAGTGGCACATACTGTGTGTGTATATATACAGTATATATATATGTCTATATATATATATATATATATATATATATATATATATATATATATATATATATATATATATATATATATATATATATATATATATATATATATATATATATATATATATATATATATACATGTATAGGTATATATAGCCATTGTAGCTCACCATCAGTAAGTACAACACAGTCCATTGCTAGAGCTTGAATTATCTTGATATCTTTAGATAGTGTTTTAATATGTCGGGTATCAGTAACTACAGCACTTGAGATTAACATTCAGCCACTGTTGACAGTTATTGTAAAAAATGTACTCAGCCATGTAACTAACATCACACAAAATTTTGGCTTTAAAGTCAAGACATCAACTGAGAATATAAGTTACTTGACTTGATATTCTACAACATTCATGAACAGTACAAATATAAATTCACAGAGTCTGGAAAATAGAGAGATCGTATTGAATTTAGTTACG